GCTGCAGTAAAATCTCTCTCTCTGCACCCCGGATGCCACAAAATAAATGGGAGCCTATATCCCTATCCATAAAATGCACCCTAAGCAGGAAAGACGTTTCTAAGGTATCTTTTACCCAGGAAACCCAAGTTCCCTAAAACAAAGATTAGCATGCTCTCTCTAACAAGGTTAAAATACTAAGCTTCAGTCAGGTTTGGGTTGGATGATCAAGAAATAAGGGCTCTCGTCTGGCAGAAGCTTTAAGCCCCCAACTCCTCCGGACTCCTCTCTCTTCTCCCTGCTTCTCCTTGTGTTTTCTTCCCCATTCTTGTCCTCTTTTCTGTTTCTATTCTGCTCCTTTGCAATCATTAACCCACAATGTACCTAGGTATGTTAAGATAAACTTTACTATTGTTTCTGCTCAAGGGACCCCTTGACATTTGAAGTGTTTACTCTTGCCAGTGTCACAAACTTTCAAATCTAAGAGACACTTCTAAGTCACCTAAAGCTGTAACAATATTAAATATTTTATCATCTCAATTTAAATGTGCAGAGTGTCTATAACAAATATCCAAAACAATAACAAATGACTAGTTTCACAAGTTAAAAAAATAAAAAGGGTAGAAAAAAATTATCTTGTAGAGTGAGTATCTGACCAATGCAACAGCTGAGGCTCATTAAGAAGGCAAGATACAATGTAAACACAAAAGTGGTCATTGTAAAAAATACTACTAGTGTGGGAAATCTGTTGTGATTGTGGAAATAAAATACAGCAGAAATTAATGATACACCAATACTTTTAGACATTAATTCTCTCAAACTGTTTCCTTAATATCCACTGAAAAGGACACTAATGGCCACTTATTTCACCTATAAATCAGTTAATATTGTAGGATTTTTTATTGTAGTGATATGTGAAAGATCTGTGTAATCAATGAATTAAACCTGTGAGTAATCAATGAATTATGAGCAGCTTTGAAATAAGTCTAGCTTCACCTGATATGCTGTGGATTTGTGCAATTCCAATTCTCCCTTGAGGAATGTGACAGAATATAGTGTAGATCATAAGTATGTTTTGGAGGATATTAATTAAGAGGAAATTAATTTTGAGGTGTTTAATGTTATTTTACATAGCACATTTTATCTTAAAGTTTTATAGCCTTGTGACAGTTAGATGAATAAAAATATAAAAGTCTGCACACTAAACCAATAGAAAGGATAAAATATAATTTTAATTATAATTTCATATATTTCAGTTTGTAATTATAAACTGGGTATAATTTCAAGCAGTCTAAAAATTGGTGGGTAACAGATAATGGGAAATGTGTGACATATTTTTCAGACTGCTACAAGTTTGATGTGCCACAGACCTTGGAGGTCCAATGTCTTGGAGGTGCATTATGTACCTTTGTTCAAAATACAGGTACAATATGAGGAGGGTGCTACCCTGAAAAATTCTAAATGGACTGGTAATTGTAGGATTTGATTATTGAAAGAAGTTTATGTTATGCAAAATCAGTAAACCACCTGCAGTAATTTTACAATAATTTTATAATAATTGCATTACTTTCTGTCAGGAATTTTCTAATACATGTTAAAGAGCAGGGAATTTAAGTTAAGAAGAATTTAAGTTGCTACATTTGAATCAAGATCAAGAGAACCAGTAACAAAATGATCCATTTTATCAGCCAGCTGTCTTGCTCTTAATGTCCAGCAAAAAGAGAACTTTTAAAAAGCTCACAGCGTACCTGTACTTTAGACTTGTCAACAAAGCCTGACAGAAATGGGTTCACAGAATTACCTCTCATTCCGGACCTGTTAATAAGCTCCACAGATGTATTTACTTTTAAAATGTATTTAAAAACTGGATTAATCCTTTTAAATTGTTTATTTGGTCATTCATCCATTTTCTAACCACTTTATCCAATACAGGGACCTGGGGGAGCTGGAACCTATCCAAGTAAGCAATCGGTGCAAGGCAGGACACACATAGGAACTGCCCCCAGTTCAAGGCAGAGAACACACAGACACAAATACAGACATACTCAAAATAGGGCCAGTTTTCCCAGAAACCAATTTATCTATCCAGTATGATAGTATGTCTTGCAGACTGTGGGAGTACACCAGAGCACTCGGAGGAAACCCACACGAACATGGGAAGAACATTGGAAAACTACACGCAGACAGCACCCCAAGCCCAGAATTGATATTTGGTCATTACGTAATCAATCATTTTATTGAGAAAGACTTTAGTACATCAGTTTCAGGTTTGGCATGGATGTAGATTTGAGTATTGTCAGCATACAAGTTTAGGCCATATGATCTTAAAAGCTGACCAATTGGAAACATGTAAATGCTGAAAAGTAGGGAGCCAGTATTGAGCCCTGAGGAACACCAGGCTTGAAGAGTCCAATTTCAGACCTAAATCTCCCAAAAGAGACAAAGTGACAGCAATCAGTGGGGTAAGACTTGAACCATTTAAGAGCAGTGTCAGAAATTCCAAACACAGTCTCAAAACAAGAAAATAGATATCACGGTTAACAGTGTCGAAAGCAGCACTGACATCAAGAAGAATGAGGACCGATAGAGAACCAGAATCAGAAGCTTTTAGAAAACTGTTAGTGACTTTGACCAGGGCAGTTTCTGTGCTGTGAAGTTTTTGTAAACCAGATTGGAGGGGTTTGAAAAGGTTATTTGTAATGAGGTAGTTATATAACTGAATTGTAATAGTATGTTCTAGAATGTTTGCAAAAAAGCGTAAATTGGAAATGGGGCAAAAATTGTTTAGATTGTCAAGAGCCATGTTTGGCTTTTTTGGCATGGGAATAATGGCAGCAGTTATAATTACGAAGCACCATTTTTTATTAATGAATTTACAATGGGCAATGTGATGCCATGAGGGGCATTACTTCCCCTGAAGCCTCTTACAGTTCGTGGAAGCTTTCCTCTTGACCACAATGGCCAACTGCAGTCGTCGGCCACAAGATTGCAGATGACGGCCAGCACTAGAGCAGGATCAGCTGTACATCCTGCAACTGCCCATTTAAACAGAGCACTGAAACAGAAAAAAAGAGGATATACCAGGAAGAAACTCAGTGTGAGAGTGTGTCTGTGATCAGGGTGCTGCAGATCCAGACATTGTAAAGACAAAAGAGTAAAGTCTATGTTTGTGAAAAGCTGCACAAACGCACCAATAAGACTCTGTGAAGGCTGTGCCTACGAGCTCCTGTGCTGAAAACACAAGCCACTGTTCTACAATACCAGCTGCTGTGAAATAATATAAACCACTGTGTTACAATACCACACACAGTGCTGTGATACCAATTGCCATGCCAAACCAAAAGGCAGCATTGTAAATAAACTACCCTGCAAATTAAGTGAACTCTGGATTTCAGACATTCAGTCAGAGTGTATCTGTGATCAGGGACCTGCCTCTTCCCCTACTGTGAGTTCCCCTATGCAACCTTACAAACGGTATGCTCTCTGTAATGATCTAAAGATATCTTCTGTTGACCAGGGAGCACAAAATCTATGCTTTTGTATTTTGTTACTCTTTTTGCCCCCTGCCTAGTGCAACAGAAACAGCAAAGCTTCCCAAACACCTAAAAACATGAATAATTCAATTTATATATCCTGGTCCTACAACTAAAGTTTATTGTCATTTCCTGTGTAACTGGCTTGGAAAAACCTGCTACTAATCAGCATTTCCAAGTAGGGATGTTTAGATAAACTGGTTTCACTATTAACCGTGATTAAAAACATTACGGTTTCCAAACCATGAGAATTTTAGAAACTACGGGAAAATTCTATTTTAGAAGCCCCGCGTTCCATGTTGCCCTGAAACATTCCTCTCACAAGTGAGTCACGTACAGTATGTGTGTGGTGTGCCTGGCACGGCACAGCTGGCTAGTCCAAGAACACCTAAGTTAGCCTACAGAGAGCAGACGTGCTGTGAAAATGACAGAGGGACAGCTTTATATCCACCAAAAAAGCGCCTTAAATCAGCAGTGTGGGAGCATTTCAAACACGTCTAATCTGCTTCAGCATCTCCGTGATCACCATCAATCCCTCTATTCACAAGTCAAGGTAAAAAAAGAAACCAGCTAACATTACATGAGTTAGCTTAAGTTAGGGCTCACCCTGGCAGGAGCAGTTCACAGAGGCAGTCCTCTGTGTATGTTTAACGTTACCTTTGTTTTCATTCGAGTTCAGTTTGTGGGAATACTCTATGACATTTGGTTTCTAAATGCAGTTACAATAAATTCTTAAATGTGCCTACTTTCCCCTATTATATTTATGTTTTTAATATTTAGTAGACCTACATGTTTTATTTGCGGAACCAAAAGAATGTTATTAAAAAAAATAAATATATGTGTATAATTATGCAAAGCTTTATGTCTTTTTTCCCTCCATAGTGCCTCATGATAAATTACCTGAAAAAAAAGTAAAAATCATGACATTTCCTGAGACTATAATCATACAATCAAAATCTCACACTGTGACATCCCTATTTCCAACTACAGTCCACAAGCAGCAGGCTTTGTATTGTTTTCAGGAAAGTGCATTTAAAACTGAGAACAGGAAGCACATTTTAACACAAAGTATTGTGGAGAAGAAGCAACTCAACCTTGTTAACAAAGTCAGCACCTGGCTTTTCTCAGGAAATATCTATGTACGTTTGATCGAATAGCTGCTATATATAGGAACAACAAGATGTATGGGCCAAATGGCATTCTCTCAGTAACCTCACTGATGTTCCTACAGTCAATGACCTGGACATATCAGGGGAGGACAGCTCATCTTTCACTCTGGGAGGCATTTCTAGAACCTCTCCTATAAGGTAGTTATAGAAACTGAATACTTTGAACATAAAGCTTTGATAAAGTTACATAGTTTATGTAGGAGATGTGTGGAAAGGTTAAAGGGTTTGTGTACACCAAGCCATGCCTTTGTGTACTACAGAAGGTAAGGGTGTTTAAGAAATACAGCCACATGGTTGTGATGTTGAAATGTGTATGAGCATTGGCATGTTTTACAGCTCCAAGCTCAACCAACCAGAAGACAATCAGCACTGGCACTAAAGTTTCTGATTATGTAAGCTCCTGATTTTAGCCTGAATCTCTAAACACTCTATTACTCAGAGATAATTATGATCACAATGCATTGCAAGTGATTAAGCAGTTTTATATATAAATGGAAATTTTACCTTAATCACACTTACAGTCAGTCCTGTTTAAGACTAGGTCAGATCAAGAAAATAAATAAATGCCAAAAGACTTTTTTCTTGACTGGAGGAGTCATATCTTTAACATATTTTTATTTTGTTATATACATAATATACTTTAAGAATGATATGGATGTATAGATTCAGGTTATTTTTTCAT